ATCAGTGGCAGCAGGAGGAATGTTTTAAAACATGGACCTGCACAAAATGATTCTTCATGCAGCAAAAAAATGAATTTGTGCTGCTACCTCACATGCTATGCGGATATTAACTCCAGACAGATCAAGTACTTAAATGTTATAAGTACAATTTTATAATTCTTTGTAGGCTCTAGATAAATATCTTTATGATATTGAGAAAGGGAAGAATTTCTTAAACTAGAAACAAAAAGTGCTAACTATAAAAAACGATTGATAGCTTTGACTATATTAGAATAAAATTTGTATTCATTCAAACACATCGTAAAGGCAGAAAACAGAGCTACAAATTAGAAAAAGATATTTGTAGCACGTATAACAAAAAAAAAAAATCACAAAGAAAACATAAAACTTCTGCAGATCAAGAAGACAAGGTAATCCAATAGAAAAAATGAGCAAGAGACATGAATAGGAATTTCACAGAAGAGGAACCGCATGGTCGATCCACAAATGAGAGAGATTCACCTTTATTAGTGAACAGGGGAAGGAGACCATGTACCATTTTATATCAAGGCAGAGAAGAAATGCATCTGTGGAAGATTCTTTACTCAACCACTTTGCGGAAGAATTTGGCGTTGTCTTGTGAGGATGAGTATTCATGTACCCTAACCATTTCACCCCTAGATTTATGCCCCGTAGGAACTTTCACATACATACCAAAGAACACGTGCAAGAACATTCGTAACAGAAATAATAGCAGGAATAGTGACACCAGCCAAATGCCCATCAACAGGATAACAGATAACTTGCGTTATACTCAATGGACTATGAGCCTCAAAACACATGACGTGTAGCTGCATACAACACTACGGGTGGATCTTAGCAGTCTACTACTGAGTAAAAAGAAAAGTCCCATAAAAGTAAAGTCAACTCCACATTTATAAGTCTAAAAAAACCTAAAAATATACTTGGTAGTAACATATCACATTATACTAAGAAATTCGAGAAAATGGGTAACAGGCTTCATGGTATTTAAGGACAGGGTGAGGGAGGAGCACGCAGGTGAATGTTGGTTATTCTCAAAGTGTTAATCCCCGTGTTGAATGGTGGGTTTACGGATGTATAAATAACAAAAAGAAAATAAAAGGATAAATTAATACAAAAGGGATAAGGAAGGTCTTTGAGCAGCAAAGTTACGTGAGAACAAGGTCTTCTTCCGTGTTCTTGTGTAGCCACAATATCTTTGATTTTCTAAAATAGGGATTTTAAGTTATGACAGGGTATTTTCAGGGGGAAAAAAAAAATCTAGCTGATTTTCCACTTTTTCAAACCCGGCAGTCATTTGAGATTTGAAACATAATATGTCTGATATGAAATAAGCATTTTTTTTTTTTTGCCAGATTTGCCAACGTGAAATTTGGAAGCTATTTGTTCTCTGGTTAATCCAAAATGTTATCATGTTGAATGTTAAAGTGAGTCATTGGCTGAGCTTTAAATAACTTCTGTCTCATGGAATTTTATCATTGTATTGTAGTTATAATGGAATTTTACCTGTTTCTAAAAAGCAAACCATCCTTAGACATTCTAGAAGCAGCCTACATCTTTGTTTATAGATAGATGACTTCCCACTGACCATGTTTTATTCTTCACTGGATGCTTATAATAAAAATAATACGTGTATGGCTCTTACAAGAGCAATAGGTCGTCTCTTTGTTTTACGCCCGTACGTAAAGTGTATTTCCCTTACTGTTATCTTGAGCTACTCTTAGAAAATGATATTATCAATGAGGCGTTTCAGGAGGAATAAATACTGGATTTTTCATACGGTTTGAAATGGTGTTGCTTTGTGACAGAGAGAGACTTTTCCAATTAGCAGAGGAAGCAGCACCCACCCGTACCTCTTTAACTTCTGGAAGTTTTTATTCCTGCAAATGTGCATTCACGTCCTGCCTCGTATTTGCCCGATTAGGACGATTCTTCCCCCGACGCGGAGATCTGGATTCGGTTAAGCTCTCTGCCTATGTACGGCACTCTCTTAAGAACCTCGGGACCTGAGGTGGAAGAACTCTCGGAGCTTTCAAATTTCACAATGGAAGACATCAACGATGAGAAAATTAGGTATGCATTTTTTATTTGACGGAATTTTCAAAAATTGTGTTAAAGTATTTAAGCAACTGATGGCAACTCCCTTGAAAGAATATGTTGCTTCTGGCCCCGTTTTTAAACACAGGTGCAGCCATTTAACCTGGCTCGTCAGTGTGTCTCGTTCATTTGATTGTTTTTGGCCTTTCTAGGTACTCGGCTGTGTTTGAAACGGATGGTCACCTGGTCACGGACAGCTTCTCTTTCTCCGTCTCTGACGTGGACCACAACCGTCTGGACAATCAGATGTTCACCATCATCATCACTCCTGTCGAAAATCCACCGCCAGTCCTCGCCTTTGCTGACCTTATCACGGTAAGCGATTCTCAGATCAATACACAGCGAGTGCTGTGGGGAGCTGAAATCTGTGGTGACTTAAAAAACGGGATTTCTGCCTAAATTGGCTGCCCCTTCCCCCCCCACACACCAAATATCTAGGCAATGGTGTCAAGATATGCATGGTTTTCAATCATGAGTTTTTCAAAAAGTGTGTAAATAAGTATAAAGAAGCTCACATCATTATATCCACATTATTTAATTAGTCAACAAAAATTTATGTGCTAGACACTATGCTAGATGTCATTAGTATTGGGAATAAAATTAGAAGTAGAATATATCCTTGAGGAGTTTACAGCAACTAACTAGTTGGCAGCAACTAACACGTGGACAGCCCGAAATCAGTCCTTAAATGAAGTCAATTCTTAACAGCAGCATTGACGGCTCCTCTGGGAAGGGGACAGTGTGGAGTATCTTGCTCATTGTTACCCCCATTGATTTCGAGTGCCAGTTTTATTACTTAATAGCTTACTGACCTTGGACCAAGTATTTAATCCTTCTTAACCTCAGTTTCCTCATCTTTTAAAAAAAATTTTATTTTGGAGATGAGGTCTCGCTATATGTTTCCCAGGCTGGACTCCAAGTCCTAGACTCAAGCGGTCCTCCCTCCTCAGCCTCCCAAGTGGCTGAGACTACCACCCAGGACCATGCCCAGCTGTTGTCTTTAAAATCGTGCTATTCCTGCTACATAAAGGATTTCTCTGATGGTTAATGAAAGAGCATTAAAATCCACAGCACAGTGCCTCGTTCATGGTAGGGATTCCATGAATGTTAATTCACTGTCCTCTTCCTGCTCTGCCGAATGCCAAAAGCTCAGGAGCTTTTCTGGTTTTGTCGAACAACTGAAAGTCCATAGAACTCTGAGTTGTTTCTAAATGGTTCTGAGATTCCTCCCGTTTTTCTGTTTCCGTAGCTTGGGGAAGCCAGTTGTGGTGTCCCCACTGCCCGAGTCAGGGCAGCCTTCCGCCTTGGAATTTACAGATCTTCCTGCAGGTAGCCAGGGGTTGCTCAGAGAGAGACGGCTCGACCACCCCCAGCAGGCTGGGGAAAAACACCGTGCTCAGGCTGCAGGGTTAGCATGCAAAATGCGCCCTAAGGGGAAAAGTTAGTTTGAACAACTGCTTTTACTTATACTGATTCATTTTCCTCCTTGGCGTGAAGATAAGCGCTAGCTTTCAGATATGGTGAACCTTTCTTCTACACACCTGTAAATGTACAGCACCAGGGAATCAAAGGGGCTTTTATTCTGGGCGAGAACACCTGTGGGACAGCCACCCACAGGATCCGAGGGAGGACTGGGTCTGTCGTTCTCCACCTGTGGGCTTCTGGGCGTGGCTGCAGGAGAAAGGCAGCCGTCCTGTCGTGCTGCTGCGCCGAGGCGGGTGACGGGGACCGGCCAGAGCTGCTTTGTAACCAGATCCGTCGCGAGAGGAGATGCGGCTTTGAAGGCAGACACGGAAGTCACCGTGTCTGAGCGCAGCTTTGCGAGGCGCTGAAAGATTACAGCATGCACGTCCCTCCTCTCCTCCCGTCCGTAGAGGGTCAGCCTCCTTCCGTAAGGGGAGCTGGTGCTGGAAGGTCACCCCAGGCAGCACTTTCCAATTCGGTTCTTTTTCACTGCGGGTGTGCACGGTCACCTGAGGACTCTCGTGTGCTTTTCTTCCTTAGGTTGATGAGGGAGGGAGAGCCCCGCTCTCATTTCACCATTTCTTTGCCACCGACGATCAGGACAACCTCCAGGGAGACGCCGTCATCAAACTGAGTGCCCTGCCCAGATACGGCTGCATCGAGAACGCGGGAACAGGTACGGCTTTGCCGAGGGGTCGCCAGGACCACGGAGGGGGAGGACCTGGTGTCCAGTTAAACCTAGAGGTGAAAAACCTGGGAGGAATGGAACCATCTCAAAGAAACGGAGGGAGAGAAGGGTTCGTTCATTTAAAAAAACTCACTGGGCATTTTCTGTGTGTCGGGCACGGGCGCGTCGGTAAACAAAACGACAAAACCTCCGTCTTCACGGAGCCTTAGATCTTGTTGGAGGGAAGACAAATGAAAAACCTAATAAACGAGAATACCGTGTGATGTTAGAAAGTGAATAAATGCTGTTTAAAGTACAGAGCAGGGTAAGGGGATCTGAGTGCAGAGGGGCCTGTGGACCATACTCCGAACCGAGCACCCAGGAAGTGAAAATTGCCGTCCTGGCCTTGTGGGGCGGCTGCAGTTTGGCGGAACCACAGCTCGAGTCTCGGCTCCTCTGTGGCCGCGGTGTCAACTGAAGCGCAAGCCTGTCTGTCTGCGACACCCTCCTCACCCTCCCAGCACCATCTGCCCCGGACCCTCGGTGGTCGTCACAGAAGGAGCCGCAAGAGGCCACGTCCCGTCCACAGGCCCCTGAGCCCGGCTGTGACCGGCAGCCGAGACAGCTGGTGGCGGGTTGCTGTGCGGCTGGCCCTGCTCGGAGACTCCCAGCACCACGCTGAGCTCTGATCGACGCACCACTGGCAGCTCCCACAGACAGGCCACCGACCGCGGGTGTCTGTGGCCAGCGTGGGGCCTGGGAGTGCAGCCCGGTTACCAGGAACACGTTTAAAAGTGCTCGTGGTTTTCTATGCAAAATCTTAGATCTTTTTCTCCATCTTGCCTTCCATCGCGTGCACTCGGAGGTGCTCATTGCAGAATCAGGTTTATTTCCCTAAATGTCTGTGCTGGATACGACGGGCGTAAACAGGAACGAGACACAGACGGTGCCTCATGAGAGACAGATCTGCAGCAGGATAAATGACGATCACGAAACCAGCGGGACAGGGAGAGGAGAAGGCACTGAGGGAGTGCAGAGGACAAAGCACTCACCTGCTGGGAAGCCAGTAAAGTCCGAGGAGGTGACGTTTGAGTTGGAGCTCGAGGAGTTCGTGGAGTCTCCGGCATATTCTGCGGGGGGAGGGCTTGGGCGACTGTGAAATGGTGGAAGGATGTTCTCCCGCCCTCCCTGCTCTCCGTGTGCTTTCCTGTTAAGCCTCCTTAACACGCGTGTATCAACGTGTCAACCTGGAATGGTGGGTGTGCCACGCACAGGAGCATCTCACGGGCTCTGTGGCCTCCAGATCTGCTAGCTCCGCTTTTCCGTGTTCATTTATAGCCAGGGAATGTCTGAAGACACAAGGGTTTCCTTTCTCTCCTCTCTCTAAAAAGAACATTGTGGTGACGATTTAGAATCAATCAATTAGATTCTGATTAGAATCAAGTCAAAGACAAGACGTCCACCATTGAGACGTCGCTCACGCATGCCCGGGGCCTTTTACGGCGTTTGGAGTTGGGGTGAGAAGAAGAGGAAGCTGGAGCTGGCACTTTCTGTGGAGCTTGAGCACCTCGTACCTGATGCGCACCTGAGCTCTGCGTGGCGCCGAGCACCTCAGCGTCTGAGTGGTCCCGGAGCATCGCTGCGGCCGCGGTGCACTAAGCCCTGCGGAAGTTTCCTTGAGGACCTGGGCAGCCAGATGAAAACACCATGGAGATGTTTCTTAGATAACCTTCCCTTACATGGAGAAAGAGGGTTCCTGTTGCAGGATGTGCCGATGGAATGGTCTTGAAAGTGGCTGGGGCTTAAGGCGGGATCTTTGCTCTTGTCCTGTTAATTGCGCCGGGACTTATGTTCTCAGAGATTCCTAAGGAAACCACCAGCGATTCCATGTTATGCAAAATAATAGCGTTCTGAGTGCTTTTTTTTTTTTTTTGGTGTATTGTCTCTTTCGATTCCCTGTGGAAACGGAAGGGCAGGTGTGTCTACTCGTGGATGGGAAATAGTCGGGAAAACTGGGATCTGGCCCCAGGTCATCCAGTTCCTGGTCTTGTGCTCATCCCTCTCCCAGCTTTATCCTCAAGCACGTTTTATCTTTGGTCAAAAATGACGTCTCATTTTCCAGTTTAGCCTGGTAAGCAGGAACGGATGGATCAAGGTAAAAATTCTCTCTCAATCTCGACGTAGGTGATCGTTTTGGCCCTGAATCCACCGGTGACCCAGAGGCGTCGTTCCCTGTTCAAGACGTCCTGGAAAACTACATTTACTACTTTCAGAGCGTTCACGAAAGCGTCGAGCCAACCCACGATCTTTTTAGTTTTTATGTGAGCGATGGAGCCAGTCGTTCGGAAATTCGCAGCATCAATATCACCATCGAGGTAAAGACTTTGGAAGTCGGAAAGGTTGAGCCTTTGACCACAAAATCACACCGTTATACAGCTCTCGTTACATGAGCTCAAAAGCAGAGAAGATTGGATTTGACCTTCAATCTTAAAGGTCATTTTTAAAATATAGCCTTTGGGAAACTTGTAGAATTCAGGTTGGCATTTGGGGAAGGTTGGAATTAAAAATCTGAATTTCCAGTTCAGGGTAAAATTGATTCATTCTGTGGGGAAACTGTTTGTGAGGGTTAGAGAAGCCTTGTTGGTCCCATATTTAGATAAAAACTAGTATTTGCTTATTTTTCCCTGAAATCATCGTGTTTGGCTCTATAGGCATGTTTGCCTTTTCTTATTTTTTAATTCATTTATTCATTTAATTGTAACATCAAAGAAATATGTTTTTGATGTTGCATTTATTCACATTTGAGCAACTACGTGGGCTTGCTCTACCATTCTTGAGAGAGAGAGGGAGGGAGAAAGATAAATCTCAGAATGGAACACCCTCTGCCTGGGGCAAATAAAAAGCACGGAACCCTTGTCACTCTAAGGGACAGCGGTGGACAGGGGCCGGCGCGAGGGCGGGGAGGCAGCTTTAGAACCTACGCTTTCAGATAGCGTGTCCTTCTGCAAGTACCAGGATGTGCATAGGGTTTTCTAAGGCAGTTCTGAGTTCCAATAGTGCTTGCTCTTTTATCCTCAAAATATTCTTGTGAAGTCACATGTCCATATTTTTGGTCCAGAAAATATGATCATCGTACCTTTGGAAGATACCCGAAAAGATGTTTGTAGAGTGTCCATCAGCTTCCTTTCAAGGGGATATTTTGTTTGTGTGACTTGCTCTCCTTGCATTTGAATTGGGAGGTAGAGGGGGTGGCCCATTAGATGCTATTTTGATTATGAAAGTTTCTGCGACGATGTCTCTGAATAACGTGCGTTTTCTTCCTTCTCGGACCAATATCTGCGTGAGACCTAATATTTTATGCTTTAATCAGAGGAAGAACGATGAGCCTCCCAGGATGACCCTGCGGCCGCTCAGGGTGCAGCTGAGCGCGGGGGTGGTGATGGGCAACTCCTCCCTGAGCCTGCAGGACCTGGACACCCCAGACAGCGAGCTGGTTTTTGTCTTGACCAAAAAACCCGACCACGGTAAGACACACACTGCTGTGGAAAGCTGCTTAATTGAGATTCCTGACGGGTTATTAGAATAAATACATAGATTCCGGTTATTTCTTTGCCTTTTCTGAATATGGTCCACTCTTTGCATGAAAGTATAATCAGATTCACAGCTGGCTAACATTCTTGGGAGTCATGGTAGCCTCAGTGCTAGTAAATTGGTGTCTCTGAAATTTAATTCCAGCTGTTTTCTTGCTTTCCTGTGTAACCTCAAGCAAAACAGGTTTGGAGTCTGCACAGCCTTTTCTCAGAGTAGGTGTCAGTGTTTGACAACCCTCAGCCATCTCAGGCAGCCCCGGAGAGCTGTGCTGCGTCCTCATGAGCTTTTTCCTTTTACGAAGAAAGCACTTTTCCTGATTTAAACCAGATGCAAAACCACTGCAGGGATCGTCTACCCATTTCTTTTCTAAGTGCCATCTCCCTGGTATCAACTAAAGCTCTAGAACCCAAGTGGTGTATATCAATCCATCATAACGCCCATTGGTCTTTCAAGATTAAATTGTTGCTGTGGGCCAGGCGCAGTGGCTCCCACCTGTAATCCCAGCACACTGGGAGGCCGAGGTGAGAGAACCACTTGAGGCCAGGAGTTCGAGACCAGCCTGGGCAACATATCAAGACCCCGTCCCTACAAAGAATTAAAAAATTAGCTAGGTGTGGTGGCACGCACCTGTAGTCCCAGCTGCTTGGGAGGCCGAGGCAGGAGGATGGCTTGAGCCCAGGAATTCGAGGTCACAGTGAGCTGTGATCAGGCCACTGCACTCCAGCCTGGGCAACAGAGTAAAGCTCTGTCTCTGGGGAAGAAAATACAGAATTACAATAAATAGATTGCTGTGGATGGAGGGTTAACAGAAGAGGCTGTTGGTCATTCCCCGCGTGGTCGCTTGCTTTCGTTCACTTTCTTGAATGAATTGCTCTGACTGCCCTGTCGTAGCGCGTGACCCTTGGAAATAGAAAAATCTGCCTCAATCTAAAGATGCGTAGCGTCTTTCTAAATTTAAAAGGAATTTAAAACATATTCCCGTCTTGCACTTCGCATGCCCTAAGAGAAAGGCAGTGAGGGAAGAGTCCTGTCTGCATTTGCAGAAGGGAGAGATCAGGTTTAGGTAACGGAGTGAGTCTGGATTCGCGGAGGGAGATGTGATTTCCAAGCCACTGAGTCACCGCATCCGTCTGTGTCTGCTTGAGAGATTTTAACCGGGAAAAGCGGGATTTGTCTTCTTTATCCAAGGCCCCAGGGCAGCGTCTTGTGCTTATATAAAATGCTAAGCTGCTGGCACCAAGAGCCTCTGTGGTACCTGACGTTCTACCTGGGCTCATCTCAGTTGGCAAAATAAGGCAATGTTTTGGCGCCATATATATTCCCACCGTTGTTTCTTTGTTCTCCTTCACTTCCTTCCTCAGGTAATCTCATCCGGAGGCAGACTGCCTCTGAGCCCCTGGAGAATGGGACCGTTTTAGCCCACGGCTCCTCCTTCACCTACGAGGACGTCCTGGCCGGGCTGGTCGGGTACACGCCTGGTGACCCCGGTGCAGGGGTGGACGAGTTCCGGTTCTCGCTCACCGACGGCCTCCACGTGGACTCGGGGAGGATGGAGGTCCACATAGAGCTACCCACCGGTGACACGCCCTACGTGGCTGTAAACCGAGGCCTGCAGCTCTCAGCAGGTAGCCCAGGAGGGGGAGAGGGTGGCCATGGTTCTCCCATCCCCATTTCTCTCTGGTCCAGCGGGCAGAACTCCCTTCCACGTAGGTTATGTGGGTGGGTCTCGAACTAGCTGTTCAGCACTTGGGGAGACTGGGCTTTTAGAGAACTCTTGCTCTAGGGATGCTAAGAATTGTCAGTGACAAAGGTGAGCCTCAGAAATTCTTTGGACCAGATGCCTCTGTCTGTGAATTTGAGAGAAGGTTGAGAAGAGTTTATAGTGCTTTCAGGGTTCTCAAAAATCTTAATTTATTCAACTACTCTTAGACATAAGGTTCCTGTAACATTGTTACTGTCCAACCAGCCCCACAGAAACAAACAACAAAAGAAATGTAGCAGGATTTTCAAGATGCTTATTAAAAAAAAAAAAAAAAAGACATAGGCAGTTGAGAAGTTGTCATGTATTAAAAGAGATTGTGCAAATAATTGGGAATTATGAGATACGGTATTGTAGGGTCTAACACACATAGTGTTACTTATGTTTAAGCAACATTGGACCTGTGACAAGTGTTAGTCTTGGACTTGGTCTGCGGTAGGGAGTTAACAGTGGTCTTTTGCCTACAGAGCATCTATAGCTCACTAGGGTTCTGTTGTTTGTCTGTTCTTCGTTTTGCATGTATTTGGTAGTGAAAAATATATGATATTAGAATGTTTGAAAATTTGGGGACTCCCAGAGGTCCCAGATGTCAGGTCTAGGATTCGACCTTACCCTACTTGCAAGCTAATAAGCTAGTCTGTTACCATTTCACAGATGGTGGTAGAAGACACAAGGTTCCTCCGTCCCAGAGAGAGTACGTTGTTACTCACAGCGCAGCAGGCAGCATGGGCGCCGGCGAGTGCACATGTGTCCCTCTGCCCTCCAAGTCCCACAGGGGTGGTGCGGAGGGCCAGGGGGACACCATCCCCAGCAGTGGGCTGCATTACAGAGAGGAATAATGAGCTTGGGAACTCTCCATATTATAGCAAGCACTAAGCAAGTCTGATATCTGTCCCAGAGGAAGACATCGCCTCCTCCCTCAGGGCTGCTTGCTGAGAGATGATCTGGGGGAAGGAGCAGCCAGGGCCGTGCATTCTGGGCATTGCCCAGCAGGGGCGTGCAGGGAGGCTCAGGGCCGAGGTGGAGTGCCACTCTGAACACCAGGGTGTATCACACGTGAATGGCTGGGAGCTGCTTTACCAGAATCTACTGTTTTTAACATGATAAAAAGGCTGGGCTGTCAGGCAAGGGGCAAGGCTCTGAGAGGAGGTGTTTGCCGGCAGCCAGCGCCTCGTCCTGTCCCCAACCCCTGTGCAGGGACCAGGGCCTGGAGGCTCAGACCTCCCTGCCCTTCACACTCAGGACGTCCTCTGTCTTGAGGCTCATTTTGACTGTTTGGTCTGAAGATGGCAATGAGATATGTTTTTGAGTTTAAATAAAGCTGTGTTTTTCTGATTTGGTGATCCATGAGACAGTAAATAAATTAAATCCAGGCAAATTTCATCATAGATCTAGCGGTTATTTGCATCACAGAACTAGGAGTTACTACGTAGGTCCAGGTGCTTACTGGTAGGTCAGTGGGTAGAATGAACATGGGGAGGAGATGAAAATGTATCAGAAGAGAAAAAAGGCTCTGGTCTAAACTTAAGGGGTGATTAGCAAATTGGAAAGTTGGGACTATTTCGTTTAGGGAAATTAAAATTTATTCATCGGCCGGGCACGGTGGCTCACGCCTGTAATCCCAGCACTCTGGGAGGCCGAGGCAGGCGGATCGCTCAAGGTCAGGAGTTCGAGACCAGCCTAAGCAAGAGCAAGACCCCGTCTCTACTAAAAATAGAAGAAATTAGCTGGACAACTAAAAATATGTAGAAAAAATTGGCCGGGCATGGTGGCACATGCCTGTAGTCCCAGCTACTCAGGAGGCTGAGGCAGGAGGATCGCTTGAGCCCACGAGTTTGAGGTTGCCGTGAGCTAGACTGACGCCACGGCACTCTAGCCCAGGCAACAGAGCAAGACTCTGTCTCAAAACAAAAAACGTATTCATCTGGAAACGGAGAAGGGTGAGTGCCTAGAACTTAGACCCAAGGAACGTGTCATAATTTAGCCTCCAGTCTCCTAACATCATCTGACATCCCATTCTAAAGAAAGGATCGGGAACGACCTACCCTCTCCCGTTCTCTTCCAAGGGTCTGCAGCGCGCATCACTGAACAGCTCCTGAAAGTGACAGGTACCGACTCAGGTGACCGTGAGGTCACGTACGTCGTGAGGGAAGATCCCGGTGCAGGCCGCCTGCGGATGGTTGAGCCCGACAACCCGCAGCAGATCTCGGTTAAGGGCCCTGTCCGAAGTTTCACCCAGACGGACATCCGCCAAGGTCAGCCGAACCCTCCTGCCACCCAGACCTCCACGGACTCCGCCCACTGTAGTAAAATGGGACTTAAACGCCTGGTAGCTGACGGCAGTAAACAGTGCACTCTTCTCTTTGCATAAGAGCCGAGTTACAGCTTCATTCATTCTCTTTCTCCTTATTTTTTTTTTTTTGTTGTTCTATGTTAAACTATCTTTCTCGGCTAAAATGTGTTTATGTCTTGGCTTAGCCTGGGTGAAATTGGGGGCTATCGTGGTGGAAAAAAGTCATTTTGACTTGCTGTGATGCTCAAAAGCGTGAGAGAGAGAGGCGCCAAAGAAGTGAGTTGGGAGGGATTAAGGTGGAAATGGTGCCCTCCTTAGGTGAGCAATTTATGTCTCTCTTCAGCTCCCCAAAGAGCACAAGTTAATGAGCTAAGCAAAATGGAAAGGCATAAATCCGAGCGGGGTGGAAATCACACGGCTCATCCCTGCTGCGGGAAATGCTGATGCGATGTAAAGGCGTAAATGCTAAATGCTGCGCAGTTACCGCGCAGCTTCCAGGGGTAGAAAAGGAAGAAACAGTTAACATAGGGGGAGGAGAAAGTGACCCAAAGTCGTGAGATGGTGTGTGGTTCCGTTCAAAGGTGGAAACACGCCCCGAGGAGCAGAAGCAGGGTCCGGCCCAGGGACTGACACCTACGTTGACGGCAGCTCGCCTGTCACGGGGCCTGTCTGTGCCGCAGTGAGGGGTGCGGAATCCGCACGAGGACAGCGATTCCTTCACCACCCCACGCCTCGGTGTTTACCTGTGAAAAATGGGATCAGGCACCTCTTCCCAAAAGTCTGGTTCTGTTCACATAGCCAAATCGATAGGTATTTGTAAATGATGCTGCGGTTACCAAAAGAATGCAATACGTCGTACTTCTTGCTTTCCGTCCTTTGGGCTGGTATGTGGAGTTTATCCACTTGTTAATTTGTTTGTCTGTGGGTCTTAGCCCACGTTGTTCCACGTATCGGGCGACGAGGAGCGGAGGGTCTGGCAGAGCGTGGGCCGCGGCTGTGCGTCCTCCGGCCCTTGGGACTCGGGTCTGTGTGAATAGTGGGGTGTGGTCGGTCCCCATCTCACACACGGGCGACTTTGCTGGTCTGGTTTTCATGAACCTCCTTAGGAGCTGAGCTGATCTTTCAAACAGACTCAGCCCTAACCATAAGAAATGTCACTCGGGGTGATTTTATTACGAGAAGCTCTTTGGTTAGGCGGACATAGGTGGTGGGAGAGGAAAGGGAGGAAGTGAAAACTTTAGATTAAAATGTCAGAAGCAGCGTCAAAGTGAGGAGGGTGTTAATGGGTCCATTGGTGTGAATACCAGCTGAATTCCTGCTTCTCACTTCAGAGATAGAGGCAGAAAGCACGGATAGCAAATCTCGATTTATTTCTTTTTATTTTTTTTTCTTTTTCGTAGGGCGGGTGGAATATAGTCACAGAACAGGGGAACCTGGTGGGAGCTTTGCTTTCAGATTTGACGTGGTTGATGGAGGAGGCAAGAGACTGATCGACCAGTCATTTGCCATCAGCGTCTTAGGTAAGGGGACGTTCGGTTTTCTAAGGTGAAAATGCTTTAGCACTTCTGAGGTTATGCGGTTTGCACCGTGCTCGCCTTGAGTCTTGAGCCCTTTTTTTCACCTAGCTGGCGTAGAAATTGAAAATCGCACCTCTGTATTGCAGGAAGCTCTGGCTCCTTGCTGTGCTCTCTGACAGACAGGCCTAAGGATTGCTTCGATCTTGCCCCCTGGGCTCCACACCCTAGAATTAAAGAAAGGCAGGAAAGACCCCATTTCAAATTACTATTTCTGGTATTTTCAGAAGACAAATCCCCACCAGTCATCGTCACCAATAAAGGGCTGGTCTTGGAGGAGAACTCAGTGAAGAAAATCACCACTCTGCAGCTGTCTGCCACGGACCAGGACAGCGGGCCTGAAGGACTCACCTACAGAATCACCAGGCAGCCCCAGCTGGGCCACCTGGAACACGCGGCATCGCCAGGTAAGGCTGTCCTCCTTGCTTCGTCTGACCACGAGTTGAGTCTCGGTGAGTGGTGGGGCAGCCACGTCATGGGTCCATGTGCACCTGGAACCTGCCTGAATTCACATTTATTTTCTGCCTTACTGATTTTGGCCTTTATACACTGCCTTTGGTATACTTAGCACACAGTAGGTGCTTAAAAATAACTTGCTAAAGTGAATATGAGATCACAATTTCATGTAAGCAATCGTGTCTCCATAAGTAGGTTATTAGTTCCTGTGAGGCAAACACCGCACCTGTTTTTCTTCTACGCTCCCTTGAGCACAAGTCACCGTGCACTGTGATTAAAAATTCCATTCACCAAATAGTAAGTGAGCATGCATACGGAGTGAGAGTCTAGCTCAGCTGCTCTCAGGAAACAAAGATGAACAAGATACAATCTTCACCAAATTTCTCTATCACGTGAGATAAGGAACCTCTCTGCACATAACCATAACTCGGGGAAACTTAGAGCAGGTGTTTTAAGAAAGAAATAAACATGGTGTCGTAGGAGTTAAAAAGTGCGAGAGTCTACACTGAGCGGGAAGGTGCACAGAGGCAGCGTTTAAGAGCGCCCTTTGGAGGACAGAATTTGGGCAGACAGAATTTGTGTTCTCTCCCGAGATGAGAACAGCATGGGAGGCACATTCGAAAAATAACGAGTAGACCAGGTTAGCCGAAGCATATTTTCTGAGAATAGGAGATGGGGCTCACGGGTAGATTGAGAGTTTATGGAGGGTCTTCAAAGCCGGGACGGGTAACCTCTATCTAATTCAATAGGCAGGAGCGGGTCACTGCACGATTTTGAACAGGGAAGGAAAGTGAAATTCATCAGGCGTGTCCAGCAGGGTGAACGGAAGGAAAGAAAAAGGAGGCAAGGCACGGCGGTTAGGAGGTTGTCACATTTAGCCAGGTGGGAGGGACGCAGGCGCACCTGGAGCAGCAGGTGTGGGAATAGTAAGATGAGGATAATAGGGGAGATGATACCCATACCTGGGGAGCATTCAATGCACATTTGTCGATGGACTAAAGGAAGGAAGGAAGAAATTTCGGACGAGGGAGGGGCACAGTTCAACCCACAACAAGAGGCTCTGGAAAAAATCTGAGGCAGGAAAGCTGAGTCTCGCACGGAACACCCTAGAGGCAGGACACAGGCAACATTCAGGGAGCCACGGCTGTGCGGAAAGCAGGAGGGCGGAGGCGACATCTGACATCCCGCTAAGAAGGCAGTTTGTTCAGAGCTGCTTCATTCCCGCAGCATCTCCCTGACCCACACGGAGCTTCCTCCGGCGTGCCGGCCCCCAGGGGAATTGGGAAAACCGACAGGGTTAATGTGGGTCTCGGTAGTCCTGCCAGGTACACAGTGTAGCCGGCAGGTTGGTGATTGAAAACTCCTTCGCTGGGATTAAAAGCCTTCAAGGTATTTCAAACAGCAGCTACCTGCTGTGACAGCCAGTGGGGACAATATGTTATTAGAAACACCGTCTTGCTGGCAGGTGAGTAGGTGACGTCTTCCAATACCCAATTAACAAAGGCCGAAATTAAGAAATGTTAAAGTGTATAGGGATTGAAAACACAGTCATGCGTCGTTTAACAGGGGATGCACTCTGAGAATGCATTGTCAGGCAGTGTCGTTGTGTGGCCGTGATAGAGTGTGTTTACACAAATGCCTGCTACACACCTGGGCTGTATGGAATGGTCCGTATCGCTCCTGGGCTACAAGGCTGTGCAGCATATTGCTGTACTCAATATCATAGGCAATGGTAACGCAACGGTGAGTATTTGTCGATACAAATATATCTAAACACAGAAAAGGTATAAAAATATGGTATTATTGGCCGGGCATGGTGGCTCACGCCTGTAATCCTAGCACTGTGGGAGGCTGAGGTGGGCAGATCATCTGAGCTCAGGAGTTCGAGATCAGCCTGAGCAAGAGTGAGACCCCATCTCTACTAAAAATAGAAAGAAATTACTTGGACAACTAAAACATATAAAAAAAAATAGCCAATAGTACGAAAGAGGTTATAGCCAACAAAGTATTTTAGAAGAACAATTAAAAAATGTTACAATGGTGATTTTTTTTTTTTGACACAAAGTCTCACTCTCTTGCCCAGGCTAGAGTGCCGTGGCATCAGCCTAGCTCACAGCAACCTCAAACTCCTGGGCTCAAGCGATCCTCCTGCCTCAGCC